TTAAAGAATTATTTTTACAAAGAACTTCTGCTATTGCCTTTACACCTTCAAGACCAATCTTATTATATCCAATATCCAGAGATGTTAAACCGGTATTTCTGTAAAGAGCTTCTGTTATAGCTTTTATCCCTTTAACACCAAGATTATTTTCATAAATATTTAGGAAGGTTAGAGTAATGTTCCTGTAAAGAACTTCTGCTAATGCCTTACTTCCTTCAACGCCAAGATTATTAACATAAAGGCTTAAGGATGTTAAAGTGATATTATTATAAAGAGCTTTTGCAAGTACTTCCCCACTTTTAGAACAAAGGCGGTTAGAATTAAGACTTAAGAACGTTAGAGTTGCGTTTTTATAAAGAGCTTTTGCAAGTGCTTCTGCTCCGTTAATGCCTAAATTATCGTCAGAAAGACCCAGGGCCGTTAAAGTTGTATTTTCGTAAAGGGCCTCTGCTAATATTTTTACTTCCTCAAAACCAAGATCACATTTCTGAAGCTCTAATGAAATTAGACCAATGTTTTTACAAAGAACATCTGCTAGAGCTTTTATAGCATTAAGACTAAGTTTGATGTCATAAAGAGTTAAGGAAGTGGTTACAGTATTTTTGTAAAGAAATTCTTCCAATATTTCCTCCGATTTACTACTAATAATTCCATTGAAATTTGAATACTTAATTTTCTTACTTGTTCGTGTTAACATCTTAATTAAAGAATATTCAACTGTTCTAACTACGCTATTGTATTTATTACATATTTCATAATATTTATCACAACTACGTTCATATTCCTCTCGGTAGAGGTAACTTATGATTCTTTTTTTCAAATTATAACTACTAACATATGTAACATAAGATGAATATTTAAATAATAGTTTCGTATTATTAGGAAGTGATATATTTAATGGAGTTAATAAAGCCTTTTCTTCAGCATTTAACGATAAAAGGTATATCCTTATAAGTTCACTATCTCCGCAGTGCTTTAATGATTCACTCCATAATATCGGAACAATAATTCTACACCATTGACGGTTTACGAGAAGACATGAAAATAAGTGTCTGGGATAATTTTTAAGGTGATTAAATATTTCCTCAAGGATTTCATTTGGTAATTCTATCATTTTAAAAGAGCTAAAAGACAAAATTATGCTAAAGAAATTTTACGAATAAATAACTTAAAGGTATATTCGTATTACTACAGTAATGTAGGAGGATATTTAATGTTCAGCCAAAGTGACACAAAGGTTACATTTTGGTACTTTTTTAACATTGATCAGCTTTACTGGATTTGTTTATTTAGTCGTACGTTCGTATCTCATAGTAAGACTTTCATATTATTGGTTGTTTAAGTCTATGGAATTTTACATTATTTATACAGTTTAAAGTACTTTTTAAACTACGAAGAATAAGCAAGGGTAGCTGCGCAGCGTGTGACTAGGAGTATGAATCGATTATAAAAACCATAATCGATGATCAAATCTCAAATACATGTTTGGATCATAATTCTGCCCTAAAGACCAGTTATAGCTCGTTTTTCAATTATTGATGTATTAAGATTATGTAAATCGTATTTTTATAACGTTACAGCAATAAGATACCTGAATTGTTTCGCATACATTATGTATAGACATTTTTAGCAATCTGATTTGCCAACTGTATCGATATTACAAGATGCCTAAGTCAAGCTATGTGTTTAAGTTTATACAATGTAATCCACTTATAAATGCTATCATATAGTTGATTTTAATGCAAATCTAATCTAATAGATAACATTTTATTCTCTTACTCAAGTGGCTAATTGGTTACTTGTTGCGCTTTGCAAAAAGGTGCAGTCTCTGCCGATCATTGTGTAATGTAAAATCGTGGGAAATTAGGCGATTTTCTATTCGAAAAGAATTATACAAATTTCCAAATACATATAGATATTACTGATCAAATATATGATTGATAGTAAATCTAGAATTTTCGAAATTCTCTACTATCGTTATTACGAAAATCGTGGGGTCACACCTTTTTGCAAACCGCTATAATTGAAATTCACTTATGTGAGTTATATTATTTTAATATATTAGAAGACACATAATTACATTGTGGTTAAAAAAAAAAGATTACGTATTTCAGAATCGATTTTAAAAATATGAAATCGTTTTTAGATTCGATTATAACGATTCGATTCAACAAAAATGTGAATGATTCTAATTCGATTAACGATTAAAACGATTATTATAGAATCGATTCACACCCCTACTTCTAAATCAGTTAACTCGCCGACTTGAAATTTTAACACCCCAAGTGAAATGTTAGTCTACAAAATGAGTGAACTGCACCGAGAGAGTAGTTATATTTATAGAGTAAATGCATATACTCTTATTAATTGAGTCCAACCTGGATCAAGGTTTTTATTAGAAATGTATGACAACTTTAGCCCACATAATTAACGAAATAAGGGTGCGACAATTAGACTTGCCGCCCAAATTCCCAAACTATTAAAGCTTATTAATAATCTTTATTTAAACAAATAATATATATTCTTATAGCTATATATATAATATATTTATGTTGACTTAATTTTTTATAAAAGCAATTGCCAGAAGTATAGCGACAATATTTAGTTATATTATTAAGTATAAATTCTAAATTTGAAATTAATAGTTTTACATAAATTTTAATGAAACCAAAGTATTATTTTTATAAAGAATCTTTTCGAATATTTTGCATTCTTTAAAGGTAAGTTGATTATTATAAATAAATAAATTAATTAGTGATGTGTTTTTGCAGAGAGCTTCTATTAATACTTTTACTCCTTCATAACCAAGTAGATTACTACTAAGGTCCAATGAAGTTAAAGTAGAGTTTTTGTGAAGAACATCTGCCAATACTTGCCCTTCTTTAAAAGTAAGGTTATTACTAGAAAGAATTAAATTAGTTAAAGTAGTGTTGTTATAAAGGGCATTTGCTAATACTTTTACTGCTTTATAAGTGAGAGAATTGCTGCTAATGTCTAAGGAAGATAAAGCAGTATTTTTATAAAGCACTTCTGATAAAACCTTGATTCCTTCAGAAGAAACTTGATTATAATTAAGACCTAAAGAAGTTAGGGTATTATTCATACAAAGAGCTTTCGCTAATACTTTTACTCCTTTAAAACCAATTTTATTATAAGAAAGATTTAAGGAAGTCAGAGTAGTATTTTTGCAAAGAGCTTCTGCCAATATCTCGGCTTCTCTAAAACCAAGTTGATCCCATGTAAGGCTCAATGAAGTTAAACAAATATTTTTACTAAGAACTTCTGCTATTGCCTTTACTCCTTCATGACTAATTTTATTATTTCCAATATCCAAAGAAGTTAAAACGTTATTCCTATAAAGAGCCTCTACTATAGCTTTGACTCCTTCAGTTTGAATATTAGTACTATAAAGGTCTAGTGAAGTTAAAGTAGTGTTTCTGCAAAGAGTTTTTGCTAATGCATTACCTCCTTCAACACCAAGATAATTATTATAAAGGCTTAATGATGTCAAAGAGATATTATTATAAAGAGCTTTTGCAAGTACTTCTCCACTTTTAAAACCAAATTGGTTAGAATTAAGACTTAAGGACTTTAAAGTTGAGTTTTTATAAAGAGCCTTTGCAAGTGCTTCTGCTCCGCCATTACCAATTTTATTATCGGAAATATGTATGGTATATAAGGTTGTATTCTCATAAAGAGCCTCTGCCAATATTTTCGCATCTTCAAAACTAAGATCACAATACAGAAGTTCTAATGAAATCAGACCGACATTTTTACAAAGAACATCCGCTAGTATCTTTATAACTTTAAAACTAAGTTTAATGTCATTAAATCTTAAAGAAGTAATGGTGGCGTTTTCATAAAGACATTTTTCTAATAATTTCTCTGTTTTGCTACTAATAATTCCATTGAAATTTGAGCACTTAATTTTTTTACTTGTTCGTGTTAACATCTTAATTAAAGAATATTCAACTGTTTTAACCACGCTATCGTATTTAGTACATATTTCATAATATTTATCATAACAATGTTCATATTCCTCACGGTAGAGATAACTTATGATTCCTTTTTTTAAATTATAACTACTAACATATGTAGCATAAGAT